TGAATTATAATGAAAAAAAAACACATTTGGACACTATGTAAAAAAAATTTTCATACAGTGTTAGAGGAAGAAAAAAAAATTTGAAGTAGTGTGTTAGATCGAAATGAAGTGTTAGATCTCCATTTTCAAAAATTTTTTGTGATTAAGTTTTTTCAGTCCTTCTTTATAATCACAGTAAATAAAGTTATTCCTCATACTAACACAATTAAAATAAACTTTTCACTTAAGACAAGAAGATCTATAAAAATTTCCGAAAAGATGTAAATATTCATATTCAATAACAAGAAAGATACAAAAATATGAAAATGCAAGTGATATGAGATATAAAAATACAAATTGACACTTTTTATCAAAAAAATTTTCGATATAAAATGTAAAAAAATTTTTGACACAATGGTCTTTAATCTGAAGTTTAAGACTTCAGTATTTTTATTTCAATGAGAGAATAAAAGGTTTGACACTGCTAAACTTGATGGTTATTTTAACCTTTGAGGTTCAATTTTTATTGTCTCTATATACTATTTATTTTTAGCAAAAATATCTGAAAAATTTCTTAAAATTCCTGAAGTTGGGAATTTTTTTCATCATCTTGAATTTGCACAATTCCGTCAACATGATTTTGACAATGTTGTACACCATTACCACATTCAGTCTCGTGAACACTTGAAAATTCAAGATTATTTTCAGTTTTGCTATTTAAATCTTTATTTTCAGTCTATCTTTTGTTTTATTTTTCTTTAAACTCACTTTGTTAACATTTTTCTTTTTACTATTCTTTTTTTTTATGCCCAAATTTTTATTTTCTTCCCTTCTTTTTGTTTTTCTTAGATTTGAATTTTTTTCTTCCTTTCTACTCGTATCTTTCTTTTTTGGTTTTTTTTATTGCAAACATTAACCAGGATTTCAGGAGAAAAAAAATGTGTGAGAACAAATTGCTTTAACAATCAGAAAAGGTGATCAGTCTTCTCAGAATTTACATTAGTTCAACACGATTGATTATTAATTGAAATCCAAAGCAAAGCTTTCAAATTCAATATGGTATCAGATGCCATTAAACCCTACATTCAATCAATCACGAGGAGCCAATTCTTCTTCAACTAACATTAATCATCATCTTCAGGGTAAATATTCTACTAATACATCAACTAAAACAACTTTCTCGATAGTGCTACATTATTTATAAAATTGTTTACACTTGTCAGAAGTATCCCAAAGACATACCAAGCAAAAAATACAGTTTTAGGCTACAGTAGCTTCCCAAGATCAACACTGTGTTTCGTAATTTAATGTCAATCAAATTATTTCACAACCTGCCCTATGTACAGTCGGTAAAAAAAGTATTGGCACATCAATATAGTTTCAAATATTTACGCAACGAAAAGTTCTAACTTTACCAATTAAACTATATTACACTCAATTTTCAAATGAAAACTAAATCACAAAATATAAAATTCCCGTCATTGTTAACAAAATATTTCCATAGAAAAAACGCATTTTATTTTACAAAAAAAATATTGGCACACTCGAATTGCATTACTACCACTACAGATAAAAGAAGAATAAAACCTTATATTCGCTTACTGAAACTGATTAATAATTTGTACTAAGACTAGAGTATTAAGTTACGTTTAGTGTTATTTTGAATTTCTCTATTCATTGGCCCTGTTTACATGAGCAATCTATTAATCCGGGGTAAAAGAAGGGTACAGGGATTTTACAGGGCAATGTATAATCGTTAAGAAAACCCGTTTACACGCAAAAGAATTTCCTCTACGTCATTGGTCACATGATAAATCGGAAGTAAGAAAATATATCCCATCACTCCTTGCAATATTTTTGTTTACATTTTGAGGTAAAGTTTTTTATACTTTTCATTTAAAATGGATAATATTCAAATAATATCATTGTTATTCGTTCAAAATATTGAAAATGCTTTGAGCGGCATAAATGATGCTCGGAAAAGGCGTATTAAAAGGATGTTAAACATCCTGTGCAGATCAGCAGTTTCATCCTTAAGTTTAGCATTTCCGCACAGGAGAATGTGGAAACAAATACGGCATTCAAAATGGTTTGAAAAGACAGTTCTCCAACATTATGATGATAGTAGATGGAAAGAAACTTTTAGAATAAACAGGTATGTTTGGATATTTTATTTGTATAAATTATATTATTTAATATATATTTATTTAACTCCTATAATCTGAATGTAACTCGTGCTTTTCTGATCAATCAACAAAAAAGAATGTAATTTCGCCAAAAATTAAAATAACAATTGTTAACATACTTAATATATGCAGGACATTTAAGTAATTTTTTTTCATCCTATTTTTCTGTAATAGTGTATATTTTAATTTAAAAGTTCAAAGAATAGGCTTAAATATTTAAACATAAATTATTGATTCGGATAGAAAATGATGTGTTTTTCAAACCCATTACCCTTATTTTGTATGAAAATATTGGCACATTCGTCCCTTAAAATTCTGCTATACCCTGATAATTGGCAATATATTTTATGTCAAAATACACTACATGAGCTATGGGTGTCTTTTCATTTACACAAAATCATTCACTTTTAATTACTTGTTTCTCTATCCATGTTTAATGATTTTATTTTTTCTCTTAATAGGTCAACATTTACAATCATCTGTGACTTCCTTCGCCCTCATCTCCAAAAGAAGAAAGTGGTACGAGATGTTTTCTCAGTTGAAGTAGGAATAGCTGTGATGTTACTGCGACTCAGCAGCTCTTCTGAACTTCGAAATATTGCTGAGTTATTTGGAATGGCAAGGAGCACTGTGTGTGTTATTGTGCAACAAACAACTCGAGTGGTGGTGAGTTGCTACATGGAGGTTCCTGAAGGAGATGAAGTGTCCATTGCGACAGACTCCTTCTTTGGTGTCTGTGGACTACCAGGAGTGTTGGGTGCTTTAGATGGCTGTCACATTCCTATAAAAGCTCCAATTAGAAATAAAAAAGACTTTTAACCGAAAGCAGTTTTACAGTGTTGTTTTACAAGCAGTGGTGAACCACAAGAAGAAATTTATAAATTTAAATTGTGGGTGGCCAGGATCTGTACACGATGCAAGGGTTCTGGCAAATTCTGAGCTGTTCGTGCAGTGTGAATCAGGCATCTTAAACAATTATTTTTGTGAATTGCCTGGTGCTGCATCCACAATTCCCCCTTACATTGTTGCTGACCCAGCCTATCCTTTAAAACAGTGGCTGATGAAGCCATTTAGTGGTGCTTTAAATGGGCAGCAAGCTACCTTCAATAAGAGGCTTAGTCGGTGCCGAGTGTATGTCGAGCATGCATTCGGCATGTTGAAAGGACGCTGGAGGTGCTTATTGAAGGCCAATGACTCCCAGCTGAAAAATTTAAAGTACCAAGTAGTTGCATTTTGCACAAGATATTCAAGATGAGTATCTTTACGAATGGGACGATAACTCAACATTATGTAATGACCCAACTGTTTATCCTGTGATATACTCCAATGACAGTAAATCAAAAAGAAATCTGCTTATGTCTTGGGTACAAAATTATGGATAATTTATGTATGGTATTCCTTTGTTGAATGTTGTGCTGCTTATATTGATTTTTTTAGATAAATCTAATGTACTAAATTATTGTTTTAAAGAAATTGAATTTTCAAAATAAATCTATATTGCAAAATAAATTCCATGTGATAAATGAATCTATTAAAAAAATACTGATAAATCATTAATTAGACAATCATCAAAAAATCAAACTAGGAAAAATAATTTTACTTTTAAATCATAATTAATTCAAGAATAATGACAAAATNAGACAATTATTTTTGTGAATTGCCTGGTGCTGCATCCACAATTCCCCCTTACATTGTTGCTGACCCAGCCTATCCTTTAAAACAGTGGCTGATGAAGCCATTTAGTGGTGCTTTAAATGGGCAGCAAGCTACCTTCAATAAGAGGCTTAGTCGGTGCCGAGTGTATGTCGAGCATGCATTCGGCATGTTGAAAGGACGCTGGAGGTGCTTATTGAAGGCCAATGACTCCCAGATGAAAAATTTAAAGTACCTAGTACTTGCATGTTGCACAATATCGCACAAGATATTCAAGATGAGTATCTTTACGAATGGGACGATAACTCAACATTATGTAATGACCCAACTGTTTATCCTGTGCTATACTCCAATGACAGTAAATCAAAAAGAAATCTGCTATGTCTTGGGTACAAAATTATGGATAATTTATGTATGGTATTCCTTTGTTGAATGATGTGCTGCTAATATTGATTTTTTTTAGATAAATCTAATGTACTAAATTATTGTTTTAAAGAAATTGAATTTTCAAAATAAATCTATATTGCAAAATAAATTCCATGTTATAAATGAAACTATTAAAAAAATACTGATAAATCATTAATTAGACAATCATCAAAAAATCAAACTAGAAAAAATAATTTTACTTTTAAATCATAATTAATTCAAGAATAATGACAAAATATATAAGGCTAAAATTTATTAACTTCATCATGATAGAAAATTTATTTTTTTATATTTTCTTTTAATAATTTTAACATTTCTGCATTTTGCTGAATAATGGTGCTGCGAAAAGTTTCTCTCTTCTCTTCGGCTTTGATCTCAAGCCTCTCTTCGAATTCCAGGACTTTGTTTGTCGTTTCCTCCATAACTTAGCGTAGAGCCTCCTCAAAGTCATTGATGCGCCGACGCTTTCGGCCCTGTTTTATTGTTTTAACCTGGTTATTGACCCTTGGTGTTGATGTACTTGGTTGAGTTAAATTTTCAGAAAAAGAATCCTCCACCAAGTCTGTTTCATCTCTGAAATTAAAAAAATAAATAAAAGCACTGTTTATCCAAACATATTAAACAACAAACAAATTGATAATTACAGGTAGCTTGACCTCGATCGGAGCTGAAATTTTTTTGGGGGGACAGGTAGTGCTGCCATTCAATATTTTTCAAGCACTATTGAAGAGAATAACACCAAAATTCATATGTAGTTTTATCTTGACCTAAATTGGGACTTATTAGATTTCGGCGGGAATTGCTGTACAAGTGTTCAATATTTTTGTTACTTTGTTATGAGAAATTTTGTGGCTGCTAGAGTAGGTGTGATTTTTGCATTATAAGGTAGTGCTTTGGCAGCATTATGTCAAAATACACTACATGAGCTATGGGTGTCTTTTCATTTACACAAAATCATTCACTTTTAATTACTTGTTTCTCTATTCATGTTTAATGATTTTATTTTTTCTCTTTATAGGTCAACATTTACAATCATCTGTGACTTCCTTCGCCCTCATCTCCAAAAGAAGAAAGTGGTACGAGATGTTTTCTCAGTTGAAGTAAGAATAGCTGTGATGTTACTGCGACTCAGCAGCTCTTCTGAACTTCGAAATATTGCTGAGTTATTTGGAATGGCAAGGAGCACTGTGTGTGTTATTGTGCAACAAACAACTCGAGTGGTGGTGAGTTGCTACATGGAGGAATTGAAATTTCCTGAAGGAGATGAAGTNGGTAGCTTGACCTCAATCGGAGCTGAAAATTTTTTGGGGGGACAGGTAGTGCTGCCATTCAATATTTTTCAAGCACTATTGAGGTTGTAGTTTTATCTTGACCTAAATTGGGACTTATTAGATTTCGGCGGGAATTGCTGTACAAGTGTTCAATATTTTTGTTACTTTGTTATGAGAAATTTTATGGCTGCTAGAGTAGGTGTGATTTTTGCATTATAAGGTAGTGCTTTGCAGCATTCTTCATTAAAAGGCAGATGGCCATGTGGCTGCCTTTCCTACATTTGTGTTATTTCAGGCTGTAATTTTGTATTTTCAATTACTTCATTTTAATCACTGATAAGGAAGTTTTCTGATAGTGAGATCATTCTAGGTTTTCCTTTCTCACAGAAAAACAATATCCTATGAAAATCTTCAATTATTTTTCTGATTGAAACATTTCTAACAATTTTCTTTAATGTTATTTAAATAAAATAACTATTATGATTGTGTAAAATTATAATTATTTAAAATAACTAAAAATTAATATTCAATTATTTACTAGTAATATGATGGATTATAGTACAATTTTGAACTCTAAATTTGAATAATTTTTTCATATTTTAATCATATACTTAGTTTTATTTAATACTGTGATTAAAAAAGAAAAAAAAATACAACTCATTTATACTTACATTGGTTCATAATCAATCTCCTGTGAATGAATTTTTTCGGCCTCATCCTGGTTGGTTTGTTCAGATGTATTTATTTCATCATCATCGTTCAGAATTACAGAATGTAAATGTCTATCCATGTCTGCTTCATCATCATTTAGAGTATTGTCAGAAACTAAAAATTTAATTTAGAATAAGAAATCAAACAGTAATAATACACGAATGCCTTTAAAAATCTAAACTTGTGTGAAAAATTGTAACGTTTAGATATATACTTAAACTATATGTATATTGTTGATGTTCATACAAAATTTTTTAGTATTCCAATTATTTTATTGAGTCTCTAAATCTTTCATTTTTATATTATTAACTGCTATAAGCTATTTATAATATAGACCAGGGCTGTCCAACAGGCAGCCTGCCAACCTATATTGTGCTCCCTGCAAGCTTCTTATTCAGCATATTTCTTTTTTCGAAATTTTAGGGTATCAAGAAGCATCCGGGTCAACCATTCTTGGTCAAGCCGATGTTATTGATCATGAAAAAGATCATACTTATGATTTATAATATTTATTGATTGTTTTGTGTTCTTAAGATATTTAAATTAAACAAAACTGATTTTAAACAAAAAAAAATTTATTTAAAAAGATTTTTTTTGGTTAAATTTAAGTAAAAAAATATGCAAAGATGCTCATAAATACTTTGTTTTATAAGTGACTTTTTTGTATATTAATTCACATTAATTTTGCCCACTTTGGTGTTTCGTGATTGAAGAAAAGTTAACATAAGCAGAAAATTATTGATTATGAAAAATATAATGCATATATTTTTTAATATTTAATGTTCTTTTTTATAAATAAAAAATAAAAAATTTTTTTTCCAGAAAAGTGTGTTTTTTTTTTCTATAAAAGTAATTTTTTTTTATGAAATATATTTGCTTGCTGTAATATATTTAAACAACCTAAAGATTAATATTTTACTTTTAAAAAAGTCATCGATTAATACATAACATGTTATAAACTAACTTTATACATACTACTTACATAATAAATAATTTAACTTTTAATTTTTATTGTATAAGAGGTTATAGTTAAACTTTCTCAAACTGCGGCCCGCCAGGTGATCAGTGACCGGATTTCTGGCCCGCCGGCTCTTTGCAGTTGGACAGCTCTGATATAGACCAATACGGTATAATTCTTTTTTTTTTTGTAATGTTTTCTTCTTGTAGTGATGTTAACGTTCATAATTAATGAGTAGGAATTTTTTAAATTGTAAATGTTAAGTTGAAACAAATACAATTTAGATAACACTAACCCGAGAAAAATAAAACTAGCTCTTCAAATTAGTTAGACACATTTATCATTCAATGAAAGATACAGCTCAAAAGATACATTTCTCATAAAAAAAGAGCTTTTTTTTCTCTATTCACAGTAACAAAGTGATAGTTTATTTAGGTTTGATGTTTAAAATATTACACCTTACTTATAATTTCATTTGTGACCCTATAATGAAATAAGTTTCTAATGAATAAATTAGTGCTTTTAGTAAAATCATTGTAATCCCGATAATTTTTAAATGTAATTTGAATAGCATATCGGTTGTGACATTGTCTGTAATTTATTTACAAAAATATTTCTCAAGAGCATAAAAAGTAGAATGAAAATAGTATACAACTTACTTAGTTTTCTGAATCCAATATCACAGGTTATCACTGGATTTATATTATCTCTGTCTCCTATAATTCTATTTAGATGTTCATAGTGCTGGAACCTGCATTTAGATATTGCTCCCGCACCACTTTTTCTAGTTGAATCTACCACTTCTTTGTATTTTTTTTTTTATGGTTTTCAATTTATTTTTTATTTGATCGGTAGATCTGTGAATGTAGCAATATTTTTATAAGTCTCGTTGTCGCGGACCGTACCATCAAATTTTTTTTCTATCATATACACTTCATATATGCATAGTAAGACTTTTGTTTCAAGATCGTTCCAACGATCAACTGGCTTCTTTTCTTTTTTTTCCGCCATTATTTGAAACAAATTAAAATATTTTCACGTTCCGAGTTCCAAAACAAAACACATGGGCCCAGAACGTAAACAATCACGTGACTCGCAATGCAACTCGGGAAAGCGAGGTGAGCTTACCCTGCATATTTCCATCTCCTACTAGGAATTATTATACCCTTCTTTCAGTCCTTCAATTTTTCCCTGCGTAGGGGAAGAAGGGTAGAAAATGACGAAAATTCCAGCTTTTACCCCGCATTTTTGTGCATGTAAACGGGGCTTTACATACCTACTAACTCTTCCGGAATTTGAGGAAGATTTTATTATCATATTTCAAGTGGTAGCAATACTCAGGTTATTCCAATTAACTTTTTGAATTATAATGATAATTATAAATGAGTTTGACCACCACTACATATAAATAATTACAATAAATATATCAAAGCATAATAATGCCTTGCGCATGCGAATTTCAACGGGATCAAAATATAAATATATCTGTGAGTCAAATTGTTTTTCGTTTATTGTTTTACAACCACTCTGAAAATCCATTATCGGAAAGAGTGAAAGTTGGCATGTATGTATTTAGGACAGTTCCTTTTTTCAAAGACATTCATTGTGGTGGGAAACTTTTTTCAGTATTTTTATTTATCCGGGTGAATTAAAAGATTCTCAGATACCGCAATGATTTAGTTATTTCTGATTAGATCTAGAATTATAAGGAGCAAGTACTTTTTGATCTATCAAAGACTTTTTGAATGCCCTAACAGTAGAAAAACCAATTAATTTTGATAATATATTATAACACTTTTTCCATAAAACCACCTTTTGTATGATTTCAATATATGAATTCAGGAAAAAACGGGTAAAAGCAAAATCATCAGAAGAATGACAGCGACACCTTTATATATTAGCAGAGATGCCAACTGCTTCGGAAACGCCAAAGTAATTTAAAGAACGGTAAATAACTTCAAAGTAAATTTTGCAAATATTTGACTATTTTTGCTTACTTTTTAAAAGGCATAGCGTAACATAAAAATATAAAGTGGTGAATTATGTAAGCCTACGAAATATTTAGAAAAAGTGGTGGATAAAAATCTACTAAATTAAATTTATTAAAACAAGAATCGCAATTGATAAACTACCACTTTAAAATATATAGTTGCAGTCCGGAGCAAGTTGGCATCTCTGTATTAGCAATAAAGCATTGAGAAAAGACTTAAAATTAGATACTGTTTATGACTTTATAAACCAACTGCCGGTATTTTATCACAACGCCCTAAACTCCAACACTGCTGATTTTAATCTTATCGTAGACAAA